CGTATATGTTATAGTTTATAGCGTCACGATTTATTCTTTCTAAGTGTGCAAACTATTTTATTTGCTGTCTCTGTATGTACATAATTTAGAATTGGTTCTGTGCCGTTTTGTTCTCTTATGACCTCATTCATGATTTTGTCATTTATGGTAATTCCTGCGGCACTTCTCACACACCTCTTTTCCGTGGTTACTAATTTTATTTTTGGGGTTTGTTGTGAGTATCCTGTCTGGCACTGTTAGCTCTGGACTGGGATGAATACGTTTTGTTAAGCTGTTTCTTTTTTGTATAAGATGTTTCTTTGTGCTCACTGGGAGTGTCTTGTGTTGCAAAAGAGGGGATAGCTGTCCCAATACAGTCGAGTCCACTTAAGTCAAACTCGGATAACTCCAATTTTGGTTAAGTCGACACCACCAGCTTAGTCCCGGCAATTTCCTCTATTCGAAACAATGTTTTCCCGTAAAGAATTCAAATAATGCGGATACAAACAGATACAGCGAAATATGCCCGGCAATAAATTGTGCAATGTATTGTTTGTATCCGCATTATTTAAATGTTCTCTACTGTGTGTGCTGTCTGGATAAGTAGAAATCCTGATAAGCAGAAGCATTTTCTTAGGTCCCTGAGACTTCTTCTTTTCCAGACTCAACTGTACTTGGTTTACTTTACTGCATTTCTTCTTCTAATTTACCATCGTCAGTGAAAGTTGTTCCCAGATATTTAAACTCAGATACCTGTTTAATTATAATAACAACGTCTTTCCATAAGATAGTGATATATTGTGCAATAGACAGCATGAGAATCACAGCCCTTTGCGAGTATTACTAAAAGAACCACAGGGAGTTAAGAAAGAAATCGTCCACATTAAGCACACCGATTGGAAAGAATTGAAGAGTTTGTGATAAACCCACTGCAAGTTACAAGTAAAATGAAAGATATTGAAAACCTGCACCTGGGGAGTATGATACAGTGTGGAGTCTGGGGATAAATAAATTGTTTTTTACAACACAAATTTGCCACCTTCAAGATCGCCGTAAGCACTTTAACATAGTTTATAAATATTAGAATCGAAAAACGGATTGCATTCTAGAATTGTTGAGTGTTTTTGTAAAAAATGACACACAGTTTAAAATCTGTTCCACAAAATGTTACATTGAAAACACTGATTTAGATCGCTTCTACAACTGGTGCTATTGCCATTATTCCTTCACTGATTCTTGAAGTGCACAGAGAGTGAACAGCTTAGTTGAAAATTATATATGAACCGCTGTTTCTGAATGATTAGAATGCTGCTGTGTTTTGACAATAGAGGTGACTAGTTGTTGAACTCTACTGATCTCTGCCTCCCGTCTGCTCATAATCTAAATTTTATTGCGAGTTGCTATGCAATATGTGAGGAGGGGGGGGGGGGGGGGGTTGGGGGTGGAACAAAAAATGATTTTACCTATATGGTTAACATTTTAGGAATGCCTCTTCTGGAGTCAGGTTAGTCTGAAGATTTCTCTCTTGAGCTGGTACGAGAGCAGAATCTCCACCACAGCATTATCATCCTCTCTCCAAGTATCGGAGCCTGAAAGCTAAGCAAAGGATCATTTTTACACTACTGGCACACGATTCTAATCCCATTTTTATAGACCAATCTGCGATCATTGTGTGATATAGCCAGCCTTACACCTGCTACCTTTACTTCCCGGGCCATTGCCTGATACCTATTTAAGGCTGAGCCAACCTGTGAGCCATGGTCAATTTAAAATAAAAACATTGCTGTATGCGGATTCAGACACTGAAGACATTCAAACTGGGCCACTATGCTACCGAGGGCTATGTGGAGAGGTACATTAAGATGAAACCAGGTCACAGTTTAGTACAATACATATGAGCTGGCTTAGATGAAGTCTTGGATGGGAATGTGTAAGTTATATTTTTTTGCCAACAGCCTCCGTTCTATTATATGTATATTTCCGTATAGGTTCCCCGGCACAATTTTGGAGACCACAGAATAGACTCACTTCCCCCCAAAAAAAGTATACCGTGGCAGGCGACTAATTAGGGGTGTTAACTTCAAAGTCGGAGGCAAGAAACCAACAGTCTGCATATAAATGAGTCATATTTGTGGAAGGGATGTGCATGCAAAGCTCAAGTTCTGGACCAAATTCAATGAGAGGACGAACAACCAGACCTTTCCACCGGAGTTTGCAACAGGTGAACACAAAGAAGAAGAAAAAAGACATCCTATGAGAATATAAACTGAGTGTAGAAAGAAAATGACACAGCTTATAAAATAATATCAACCTATACAGACTAGTTAGTTGGCACCTTAGTCTTTCCAGATGATAGTATTATATTGTGCTATGAGGAGGCATGGGACTCACAGCCCATGGTGGGGTCGAGTGTGACTAGCACGACTTGCCTGTGTTAAGAAGTCTTCCACAGTTAGAGCATGTGATTTCAGGACTGTTGCCTCCATAATATGTATTAAGTGCATTTCTTCTCAGAACTTAGCTCTCATTCTTTCTGCAATAATTTCCTCCTCCATTCTCTTCCTGATTTGCTACCTTCACGCAGAACTCGCTTCATGGCATTTTGTTCTTTAAAATGTACCTCATTAACTGTATCATTCATGTCCTTCTTGCACTCATCTTGATATCATAGCAGAGGCCGGCCTCGACATCTTCCACCTAATTCACATTAGGCAGGTAGATATTGGAGAGTCTAACTCGTTTACATGATCAGGGAGAAAACCTTGTGAACCACGTCTATGCAACCTTTGAGGTCAAGACAGGAGATATTATAACCAACTTCTCATGGAAATAATAAGTAGAGGTATTTTCAAGTGGTTGCTGCTTTGGATGACTGAACACGCACAGGAATGCCCACTGTACAGCCATGTCAATACAACATAACTACCTTTGACATTTTTGTCATATTATTGGTATGACCCGTGTTAACATATTTCTCACATTCAACCATTGCTGCAACCAGTTACTGTTAACTGTAAATATACACACACACTCAGCAGTAGACACAGCATATAAACTGACTTCGACAGAGTTACTTTCATGTTGTGACAGACAAAAGCAGAATATGTAAAAAGTAAAGATCCCTTTTTTACGCCTTAGGCGATCCAGGCATATGGGAAGAGCGCCCATATTTTTACAGACGAATCAGTACTAGGTGGGTAACGTAGTCAGAATTACGCCGGCCGTCTTTACTTCCCCAGGACATCCATTCTGGTACCCATTTTAGACTGGATCGACCTGCGATGCCCCATACCAAGATAAAAATCTACGCAGCCAGCAGTGGGATTTGATCAAGGTTTGTTGGAATTGTCAGACTCGCAACGCCTGAGCCACGGAAGCCGCAGAATATGTAAAAACAAAAATAATAATGTAAAAAAAAAAAAAAAGCACAAGATCCGAGTAACAATAATTGTATAAATTTTAATGTATCAAAATGAAAACCAGAAAAACCTGGTTAAATACCAGTGAATTTACTGTGTAATACACTTATTTCCTCTGCAACTTTCAGCATACACTTGGTCCTATGGCAACAACAAAATTTATAATATTTTTACACATTTTTGGCCAACGGAAAAAATGAAATCGAAAGTAATATAATGTGTAAGTAGGAAAGTAGACAGGCCTTCGATATTAGATTTAATAGACAAATAATCTAACTCTTTCCTTTGCAAATAGGGCACCATGTGGTGTATTTTTTCTCTTGAATTCCAAGCATTGCATTATATGTTTTCTTAAATAGTACATTTGGTCAGATCATGCTGACAATTCTGGCTTTTCTAGCAACCAAAGCCTTGTTTAAAATAATGAATGCTCTATTGATTTCTGGTCTTCCCAATGACTTTTATCGTTAACATAAAAATTAACTATTTAACAGCTTCTGCCTTTCCCAATTAGCACTTCCTTTGAGTATGTAAATTTATTGAATGTAATGCCCTGGCAATTTATAGCTTCTTTCAATATAGACTCATTGTTTATGTAGCCTTTTTGAAAGTAGCACCCAGGTGCTTTCTGGATTTCCCAATGACCACTTCCTTTGTGAATGTAAATTTATTGATAGTAATGCCCTGGTGAATTTGGCCTTTTTAAGTGAACACATACTGAGCATGTAGACCAATATCGAGTAGCACCTGAAGTGATTTATGGCTTTTCTAATGACAACTTTCGCTGTTTTTGTAGCCTTGATGAAAAAACACCCTGGTGATTTATGGCTTTCTCAAACACCACTTTGATTTTAAATGAAACCTTAGTGAAATTAATGATGCTCTGTGTTTTCTGTAATTATGTACCCCTTCAACTACATGCTGCCAAATCTATGGATATTGAAAGATTTGAATGTGATACAAAATGTAAATACAGAACATTTAACAGATTTTACAGAATACTTCAAAGCATGATACATATACAGGAAGAAAGAATATAGAGCATCATTACCAACTTTTGCCAGTGACAAATGTGATATTAATATGAACAAGCACCTTCAAGAGCAAGAAAGGCTATCATGAGCACTGATGAAAATCAAATAATTTACTCATATAAGTATTGTAAACACATGTGCAATCATAGCTATTTTTTCATGTTATATAATAATAAACTTTCAGCCCTCCTGGTTGTTTATTATTCTTGATTCATCAACTTCCTTTTACTTCTCAAGGCAGCATAGGCCCTCACCCAAGTCACAGCAGGAATCAAGGGCACCATCCATCTACCTTTGCAAAACTTCATTTAAACTCTCATGCAGACAGAATGTACTTATTTTTTAAACTTCAACAAAACTTATTCATTCACCTACTATGTAAATATTTTTGATTTGGGTGGGGACACTGGTCTCTAATAGTGACTGTATTTTCAGGTCAACAAAATGTGTAACATATATTGAAACAGTCTGCATAATGACATTCTACATTACATGAAGGCAGAGAACAAGTAACCTATTAATAAAGGTCAAACACTGCAGCCTCTCTAATCCTGCTAGCTCACAAAGCTTAAGAGTTCTTCTGTGGAATTGACACTATGACCTGCAATAGAAAAACAGAGTCCAGTAACTTTAATAAACAAATAACAGTGCAATAGAACAGACAGACAATTCATACAAAGAAAAACTAATTCAAAGCAGGGGGGCAGAGGTTCTAAAAGATATTCAATACTGAGAGTGAAACATAGGCAGACTTTTAATCACTTTGCAACTTGTACTATTAGCATGTTGCCTCTTTGTTGTCTACGGAAGAAAGAAATGGAGCATGTGTAGGAGTGTCCTGAGTGCAGTAGTTTCGATTCCTGATTCATTCACTCATTCACCCAACTAACTTCAGCCTGTATTTATCACTCTTTTAAAATGGTACAGGATGCTGTATCAGATAGGGCTATATCAGTTAGTGCAGTTGCCACGAACTGCAAGTTAGCATTTTTATTTTTGCCATTGGCAGAAATAACTGTCATCACTATACCAAGGATTTAAACTCAGGTCTGCTGAATGACAGCCCAGTGTAGAGACTACATTGACCAGATGCTTCTCGAGACATTTAAAAAATATCTCACAAATTCAAAGTTTTCCTGTTGTGAATCTGAGTAAGCAAGATACATGCAATAGACAACACACTTTAGGACTAGAAAAGTAGCTTCAATCTCCATGCATCTAGGTATTCTGGGAATGCAGTGTTATCCCCTGGTCATACCCTGCATCACTACTCTCTCTTTCCCCCACTTGGGACAGTCCCATAAGCTCCCCAACCCTACCTCCAGCAGCCGGTGAAGTATTTCAATGCTGATGATACCAGCAGAAGCTTGAATATATTTTCATCTTGCCTTCCCTTGGTGCAGAGTGTCAGTCAAGTTCTCTGGTCACTACCTGCCCCACCATTCTCTAAACACCATAATGATCTATCCCTACCTTAGCATTGTTCACGTGCTCCCAAAGGTCCTTGACCACACCTAGCTTGATTTGATTTAAGAACCGACATCACAGCACTCGGGGCATCCCCATAAGCGTTCCATCCCCATCTTCAGCAGTCAGCGAAGAATTCCAATACTAATAGTGCCAGTAGCATTCTGATTAAACATCCGTCTATCCTTTCCTCTGAGCCTCGAGCATCTGCCAGAACCTCTCAACACTTCCCCTTGCATCAATCTCACCAGACTGTGGTGATCTATCTGCTCCTCTAAACTGTGCCCTCTCTCCCACAAGGCACTAACCACGTCTGACTTATCATGCATCATTATTCCACTGAGTTTTGCAGAGCCAGCCAGTCTGCCGGCCTGTTTATTTCCCAACACACCCGGTGTGTCGGTGAAAAAATCCAGACAATATTCCTCGCCTGTGTCCTCCACAGCTTGTCATGCACCAATTCACCAGCCAAAAGAGGGCAGGCAATAAAATGTTTTTTCTACTGTTTATCTCTTCATGATTCCAAATAAAACTGACTGGCTATTATTTTTTATACCTCTTTATTCTTTGGCATGTATTCTTATACCAGATAAACAATATAATGGTATAAAGCAAATCAAAAGCAAGTTGTGCAGATCCCCTGGTTACAACTGTGATTTTATAACCGAAACTTGGTTAATTTTTATTTCTGTCACATTATTTTGGCCAGTCTTCTCCCTTTCTCATAATACATACCTGCTTTAATCAAAACTGGCAGTTCAAGTGATAACTTGAAAGATTTGTCAAAAGAGACAGAGAAAGATGAGGGACAATTTTTGACAGCATTTTGTCATGGCACGGAAAACAGCACTCAGATTTATACATTATGTTAGAGAAAGATGTCTAGTTCTGTCCTGTGGACCCCAGACTGTAATGGGAAAGCCCCAACTGCATCTCTATGGGGCAGAGCATGGTAAACATATTGCAATTTGTCCAGCGTGGCTATGGAGACTGAATAAGTGGCCACCTCTGAGGTTTCCCCTGCTGTTAGCAAGAGCATTACAGAGCAAGGCACTCATTTGTCCTGGTAATCTAAAAGGATGGTAACAGTTGGCTGGAGACATTGTCCTCATAGTTACCCATGTGTGTGAAAAGCAGTGGGGAAACTACCACATTACTATCCCAAGAAACACACCATGAAACACTGAGGGCAGGAAAGTGGCTGAGGCTAGAGAGTTGTCATCAACATTGTGTGAAGGTTCAGCTACATGGTGACCAGCCCAGTGTGGAGAATCACAGGCATGCAAGCTGACAAGGCACCTAATATTGATGAGGGTTCACAACTACTAAAACACCTTTAAGAGCGATGGGTAAAAGTAAAAGCTGTTTAGGAGTGAAAGATGGCAATAATCTGTTTTGGCCTCCTGGATTTACAACCAACACAGACAATAAGATGACAAGCTGAAAAACATGTTCTCTTAGCAGAATGTGGTTTTTGAAAAAAAGGCAAAGAACATCATGGAATGACAGAAAAAACAATGAGGCAGTCTTCCTCGAGACAGATGAAAGTTGTAAACTGAATGGACATGCTATGAGAAGTAAGGGAATCGAGAACTTAGTAACAACTGGCAAGATGTAAGGGAAGGCCACAAAAGGAAGGCAAAGAGATAAATATCTGGATGGCTTAGCCCCACAAATGAGACAAGACAAGAGCACTGACTTGATTCCTGATTTTACTGATCATGTGAGATGGAGAAAAATTGACAGCCTACGCTTAAATGGTCTTGCCACATGATGAACGCTTAAATGGTCTTGCCACATGATGATGATAATACACAAGGGCATTTTCCTCTAAATGTGAACTTACTGATTTGACCTCCGTGTAAGCACTGATACCATACTCTCCCAGCTCTCGGCCGTGTCCAGACATCTTGTACCCTCCAAATGGCAGTGTGGTATCAAACACATTGTGGCAGTTCACCCTGCATAGAATAATATTGACAATATTAGACAACCAAACATTTGACATCAAACTTCACCTTCTTTTTCTTAGTGAACACAGCCTGTAAACTTCTGCAGAAAGTCTGGTTGTTTGTCCACTTTTGGACTTCAGTCTTGTTTTGTGCAAATCTGTTAGTTCCTTGCATCTCCTGCAGAATGTCCTCGTTGTTTGTCCACTTTTGGACCTCAGCCTTGTTTTGTGAAAATTCTTAGTTCCTTGCATCTCAGGCATAAGCACTCTGATAAGAAAAGCAATCCTATCTACAATGGTAAGCCACCCCCTCCCCCTCCCCTTTCCCGTTTCTAGGATGGTCATGAAAAGGTACAGATAGCTCTTGACCAGTATGAGCCCTTGTCCTAATGTGCCACCACCTGTGGTTCAGACCTCAACATCCCTTTTTACATTAATGATTTTTGGAGACAGCTTTATAACATTCAACACTGATATAGGGCCAGTATTTATTGTAGCTCTGCTTTGTTTTCTTTTTTTTAACCACTTCAGGTGTTGAGGGAGATACAATGTTCTAGTTCTTGCTCTTCTGGTCACCTCTCCTCTTTGGTATTTGTTTTGTAAAGTAAGGCATCACAAGGCACTATGTGATTGGCCATACCATTTTATTTGCTGTCTTTGTAAAAAATTTAGTACTGGTTCTGTGCTGACTTGTCCTCTGATGACTTCATTTCTGATTTTTATCTCTGGTCTAAAAAATAGACTTTCTTGAGACATGATGATGACAAGTATGAACAAGTTCTTGCTCTTCTGGTTACCTCTCCTCTTTGGTATTTGTTTTGTAAAGTAAGGCACCACAAGGCAATATGTAAGTGGCCATACCATTTTATTTGATGTCTTTGTAATAAATTTAGTACTGGCTCTGTGCTGACTTGTCCTCTTATGACTTCATTTCTGATCTTTAACTCTGGTCTAAAAAATATAGACTTTCTTGAGACATGATGGAATCATTACAATTTAAAAAACTGCAAACCATAACTAAACCGGTAAGACAAGTAGCTTACCAGACAGTTCCTGCCCTTAAACTGTTAGCTAAAAAGATAGCTCTGTTTACATCCTTCGTGTAGACGGATGCTGCCAGGCCATAAATGGTGTTGTGAGCCCTGTCAAGCAAGTCCTTGTCTGATTTAAACTTCAGTATCTGCATCACTGGGCCAAAAATCTGAAAATCAAGTTAAAAGTAGCTATTCTCACATGTCCATCAGTACTTAATGTCAGGTGAAAATTTCATAGTCAAAATAGCTACTAGTAACATAAGAAAATAAGGAATTTGGAGCTAAAATGCTATAAAAGAAGATTCATGGAATATCATGGACAAAAGAAGAGAAATAATGACATCCTAAGTGATCCGAACATCAAGGGATATTGGCTTGTAAACATCATTGTGTCACAGAAACTGAAGTACAGTAGAACCTCGCTTAACGAGCACCTCGCATAACGAGCAAAACAAATTGTAAAAAAATGACTTGCTTAATGAGCGACGTTTCGCATAACGAGTGGCGAGGAGAGGAGAAGTCCCCAATAGTGCGCATGGTATATCAGTGTTTAGCACTTGTTCTAGTAACATCATAGTGTCGCTTGTGATCACACATTTTCTCAAACGTGTGTTATATTGTGATATACGTACATGAATCCTCCAGGCCTACAAGTTGACCTCTCTGAAGAATTTAAGTTCATCAAGATCCAGTTTCTGCCTCCCAACACCACACTGTAACTCCAGCCCATTATTTCTAACTTTAAGAAGCTCTACACTAAAGCACTCTTCGAGCATTGTTTTCAGGTGACTGAAGGGACCAACCTCATTCTCAAAGAGTTTTGGAAAAAATCACTTCCACATCATTGCCTGCATCAAGATGATCAACAAAGCGGGGGAAGGGGTTACCAAGAGAACCCTAACTTCTGCTTGGAAGAAACATTAGCCGGAGAGCTTTGTCGATTTGTGGCTTTGAGGGGTTCGAGACAGTACCTGTGGAACCTGTAGTCAATGAGATTGTGTCTTTGGCCACTATCATGGGATTGTAGGTGGATAACCGTGATATCGAAAAGCTTGTGGAATAGCGCAGCCAAGAGCTGACCACCCAAGAGCTTATAGAGTTGCATTGTGTTTCATAGCAAGAAGTTTTGGAGGAAAGTTTGTCAGAGGAGGAGGAGGTAACAGAAAAGCAACAATCTTCTGGCGAAAAAAAGAGAAATGCTAAAAGCATGGCAAACTGTTGCATCTTACATTGAGAAGCCTCACCCTAATAAGGAAGGGGCTACGCGTGTTGCAAATTTTTTAAAATGATAATGCTGTTTCCATTTTCGCCAAATTTTGAATCGTCTGTAAAAACAATTGTCTCTGGACATCTTTCCAGTAAAAAAACAATTATTTATGTATCATAATTATTTCGACTTTTATTTTCTGCAAATAAAATTCACATTCCAGGTGGGTTCGTTCCGCGTTTGAAGAAAAGATGAAGATGATTCACTCTCCTTAACAATATGCATTGAATTTTCTTTGAATAAATGTTATACATAACATTTTGTGAGTATTTTTTTCGACATGGAACGCATTATCGTATTTTACATTAATTTATATGAGAAAAAGTGTTTCGCTTAACAAGTATGATTCTGGAATGAATTATGCTCGTTAAGTGAGGTTCCATTGTATTTTGGCCACATCAAGTGCCACAGTGAACTGAAAAAAATAACAGCAGGTGGCAAGATACCAGGAAAGATGACAGTTGAATAGCACAAAGATGGGGACAGGATATAAGTGACATCCAGGGTAGGAAGGTGCATAAGGTGAGAGAGCTGGCAAGAGATTGAGTTTCTTTGAGGCAGACCGTGATGAGAGCAACATTCTGCACAAGGACCTGCTACTAATGATTAGTAACACTGCTCTAGAAGTCTCCATGGCGATGAAGTCAAGCAATTTGCCTCAGGCTCTGAATGCCATAGGTGTTACACAGACACTTTGTTCAGTTCACAAGTGCAATTTTTGTGGGGATGTTGTTGGAGGCATGGAGCTTGTGATTTCTGTGACTCAACAGGCAACTAGCCATCTGCAGACAGAGACTGTTGGAGTCCAATCTGGGTGACGAATAAAATGTAGCTAACGGAGAGATCAGAAGTCAGAGGTCAATTTGTGTTGTGAATTTTAGGTAGGCCCTGGTGATGTGAAATTTTTCTAAGACTGAAAGATAGACTTAACAGACAGACAAGAAAATTTCTGGGACTGAAAGATTTAACTACTGTACGGGCTGGGCTAGTGGATAATGAGGAATCCCGGACACTAACACAGTTGCGTGACATGGGCGTAAAGCATGGTGAAGCACGTCTATGCCATCTTCAAGGCCGAGATAGGAGACAATATAACCAGCTTCTCATGGGAACAATTAGTAGAAGTACTTTGGAGTGGCTGCTGCATTGGAGGACTGAGCACATATGGGAATGCTTAATGTGCAGTGCCGTTGATTGTGATAACATTACATAACTAGATATAACAGATGTAAAACAGCTTTCTGAGAATGAAAGATGTAGGCAGATATAAATGGATGTAAAAAAGACCTACGAAATAAAATAAAAATCCCACTAGACAGAAAAACTGTAATATATGAATGCATATTCAGTTCATTAAATGGACACAAACAGCAAAATGGATGTTTGTTCACCTCTTCTTTGGCAATCCTCATGTCATCTTTAACATCTGCAAACACAGTGGGCGCCACAAAGTAGCCTTTGTCCCCCACCCGCTGACCACCTGTTGTCAGCTTGGCCCCTTCTTTCTTCCCACTGTTGATCAGCTCGAGGATTTTATTCAGCTGGTCACTGTCAACCTACAGTTCCAACAAGAGTAATGTTACTTGTGTAGTGTCAATGACAAAATTTGTTATATGGCTTACATAATATACTTCTTTGTCAATCTGATTTATTAGCATTTTTCAATATACGTAATATATGACAATATGAATATACTTAATTATACGTGCATATCGCATGAATAACAATGCACAAAACAGCAAACAACTTAACTAAAAACCGACTGAAAAGACAAAGCTTTTACCGTTTATCAAAATTGTTCTACGCAAAAAACAGTGACATACTTTCTACAGACCCGTGTTTTTGGAAAATATTGTTTCTGAGGCATTTTTAGTCTGATAATTCAGTCATACTTTAACAGGAATTCTTGGTGGAAAATGGCAAACAGCCATTGAATTTGCAGAATTATATTTTAAGGTTAAGCAGAACTCTCATTCAAGGTGTCAAGAGATTTTTTGGTTGCCTTTTTTGTACTAATCTACAGCCACAGATGATGATGATGTATAGTTGGTTCAACATTCCGTGAACACACTTGCAAGCCATTTTATCAAAAACTGCCTGTTTTATCAAAACAATTTTTTGCATGCAGCCTTAGAATATCCATGATGCAAAAATAGTGGTATTCTTTAGTCCAAAGATGCTCAGGATGCTGAATACCAGCCAATTCCTTTGATATTTTTGAATCATTGTTAATAAGTGGAGTGAACTTTTATATTTGACAGTAAAAATCTGAATTTCTGGTTCTATTTTTTTTTCAGACGCGTGTCTTCATAATACATTGATAGGTGAAATAAATTTATTTGTTGTCATTTATTTTCAAATGAGTTAAGTCAAGAAAGAAAGCTCTCGGGGGCATTCCCATATGCTCTCCTTCCCTATCTTCAGGAGCCAGAGCAGCGTTGCAGTACTAATGGTACCGGACACAGTCTGATTATATGACCATCTTGCCATTCCTCTAAGTGTAGTGTGCCGACCAGGCCTCTGGACACATACAGGTGTATCATTCTCTTCAGGCCATGATAATCTATTTTCTCTTCTAACTTCATTACTTGTTCCCAAAGGGCCTTGACCACATCCGCCTTGTCATGTATCCTCATTACCCAGTGGTGCAGATCCAGCGAATGTCTGCCTTGTTCAATTGTAAACATGTCCCCAATATGCAACAGTTGGTATCCCCTTCAGTCACCATTAGACCCCACGGTGTATCTTAACTGCACAGCAAATTGTATTACTGTTGATACATTTAGATATGGAGATGTATTTGTTGCAACTGTAGATGTACCTAACGGGTTGATATTGAACCACTCATAGAAAAAATGGTTTTAATCATTCTGAATCTGACGATCCCAAAAGGTTGATAATTGTTACTGGCTAAACAAATTGTAATCCATCTCGGTTCGGTACTCTTCTTCCTCTCGGAGCACATGTTCAACACACTTTTTCCAGAAATGAATGTTTATTTCTGAGAAGGAATTTTTGAAATCGCAATACTGCATTGTGACTTCAATGATAATTTCAGTTTCGGAGAGTAACAAGTTGATTTGTCTCTAAAATTTTTAAGATCTCACATCTAATGACATCTACATCAAAGTCCTCAACTCCCTTTTCCCTTCTTACTAGACATGAGTGTATGTGTGCTGTATCCTGTCTAATCCAACGGTAAAATTATGCTCTATCCAGACCAAGCGCCAATTGTGTTAGCTTCTCAAGGTCATAAATATCACAATATAAAAAAAACTCAAGAAAAATTTCCGAAGAAAGTGCTGGTGCAGTGAAACTGTAACCTTCTGCATAAATTTGCAACTCAAATTCACTTTGAAATCGATGTCTATGTCAGCTTTTATAAACTAGCTATGTGACACAATAACTCAACACTAATTTGTGGATGCGCGTTTGACTAAACAACCTTGACCGAGTCTTATTTTGGCGCGAGGTCACTAAGAGTGCAACTTTGCACAAGAAAGTCAAGAAATTGCGTAGGTTTCCTTTGACTCCCTGTTAAACCAGTCATGGTGTGCATTACTTCCTGAAACTAATGAAAGTAAACTTCCAAAAGTCTACCTAAAAATATATATCGTAAAGAAAAAAACTACATGATCTTCTTCTTTAGTGAAAAAAATATTTCCTTAACGTCATGGATATTCTAAGGCTGCATGCAAAACATAATTGGGATATAAAAGGCAATTTTTAGAGAAAATGGCCTGCATGTGTGTTTATCTATTTTTGAACGAACTATAAAACAAGATTACAAAATGTTTTTTTTTTTAAATTCTTGAAATTTGTTCTCTATTCAATTTGCTACAAAAAATGCAAAATATTATGAGTCTATGTTAAACAGTTGCGAAGCTATGGCATTTTTGTTAGTCTATATCGCTGTTAGAAAGAAAAATAATTTGGTTACCTTTTTATGCAACAATCTACAGCCACACCATATGATCATGTACAACCTGATTACACAGTTTAAAAAAAAAAATTCTTGGAGGTTGTTCTCAATCCGATTTGGTGCAAAAATGCAAAATATTATGAATTTATATTAAACAGCTGTGAAGCTATGGCATTTTTTGTTAGTCTATATTTACTGTCAGAGAAAAAGATTTTTGGGTGTCTTTTTTTCACCAATCTACAGCCACATGATGCTGATGTCAAACACGATTATGCAGTTTTTATTGTTGAATTATTTCTTTATTCAATTTGGTGCAAAAATACAAAATATTCTTAGTTAATGTTAAATTACTTGTGAAGCTATGGCCATTTTGGTAGAAACTTAAGAAATGTGGTATCTGGAAAGGTGCAAGGGTTAATGGACTTGGTAGTCAGTGGGTTAATCTATTAGCTTGCTTATCACCTCGCACACCTGAATATCCTAACAAAACATCTCCGATATGTTCATAAGTCCCCTGATCCTATTTTCAGTATATAATCATCATCCTGTAACACTACATGTCGTTGGGTCACCAGTTTCTGTTGACTGTCTAATCTCTCCACCTTTCACAGTCAGTTGCGATGGAGTTCATGGTTGCATGCCTAAGGCCTGTCCAGTCAGTCAGGTTCTGTAACCAGGCCTTTCTTGGTCTGCCTCTTCTCCTCTTTCCTTTTACTGAGCCCTGCAGTATTGTTTTTGAGAGGTTGTTAGATCTTTTTACATGTCCATACGATATGTCCATAAGTCCTCGGATCCAATTTTCAGTATATACCTGACTGATAACATCAATATCGTCTTGCTTCACTATTCTTCTTTGGCTACATGTATAGTGTTCATGTCTGGCAACACCTCTTTTGACCTGAACTTCTAGTAATCTCTTTATTGCTACTGATTCACTATCTTTTCCTGAATTATCTAATCGACCTGCCTCTTTAGGAGCATTGAGAACACCAGGCTGGTTTGATGCTTGTCCCGTACCTACTGCAGTCCTGCCAGCAAGCCAATCTGCTCATTCCTTCCCTCTTACCCCGGAGTATCCTGGCACAACACAAAAATTAAACCGATTCCCGTAAGATTAGTTTTATCAAGCAAAGCAAGACATTCTGAGCACAAGCAACCAGTTTCTAGTAAAGAAAGATTTAGAAAGAACATCAAGTATATAATAAGCCGGTACCTGAGGTCCCTGGTCCACGTCTGAAAAAGGATTACCAACAGTTCTCTTTTTAGCTCTTTCTGTGGCAAGCTCTACAAAGTCATTGTAAATCTTATCCTCAACAAAGACTCGAGAGCCAGCAGTGCAACACTGTCCTTGGTTGAAGAACAATCCCTGATGTGTGCTGTTGAGAGCATTTTCCACTAGGAATTGTGAAAGAAACCAAACCAGAACAGTTTTAATTGCATGCCAAAAATTAACAGATTGCAAGTCAGTGCAAAATTTTAAAAAATGAAAATTTAACATAAAAAAAAAAATGAAAATAGTAAAACAAAAATAAACATAAATAAGGCACAAATGTATAGTAGCAGGGCAAAATGAACTGCAAAAGCCGGATACTAGATAACTGATTCAGCTGGCGAAAACCAGATCTGGTAAATATAGAAAAAAACTGCCTGCAGCAAACACCTGTTGGACGGGAAGGCTGAAAAAGTATAAGAAACTTATACCAACATAGTATCAGATACAGCATACACACCAACATAACAAAATCATACCCTAATATCATGGACAGTATATACAAGGCCACAACACATGGGGAAATAGGCACAGACAGAGCAGGTATCACAAATGTTGTACGAACGAGGATAGTGAATAAATCTCTTTACACTAATACAATTGAGTGATATGGCAATAAAGCTTGTCAGGCCATGAAAGGAGACATTAAAACCAACTCTGAACAATCAGCAGAAGTACCTTGGAGTTGCTGTTGCATCGGAAGACTGAGCACACATCAAATGCCTAATGTGAAGTTGTCCCTTGTAGTTTAAACCTGGTTTAAACAAGGGATCAACAACATGGCAAAAGGGTAGAGCTCCACTCTACTTCTAACACAAGCCTGAGTCCGAAGTTTCTAAGTGCAGTGCATGAACCCCCTAGCAACGGCGAGAAATCTGAAATACTTTGGGTAGATTTCTAACTACACATTTGGCCCAGACAGCACCGTTAGGCTACTCTTTTTGATTTTCAACTGCCAAAGGAATTTTTTTTATGTCCGCAACAATACACACGGATATCCGGTCTTACTACCTGAAGACCAGGGAAAATTACAAGAAGTCTATGTGAAAAACTCCCAGCAGTCTTGGCACGTTACCATGGCCTGAACCTGGGACCTCCAGCACTCGAGGCAGACGCCATGCCTCAAGACCACTCAGCTACCCTGTCACTTCTAGTAACATAACAAAATGTATTATGCCAACAAGCATAGGTGGTTATGATTTGCCATTTCACAATTAAACGAGTCCTTCATCAGATAAGCAGTCTCAAACCAGCCCATGTTCTTACTGTTCCAAAAAATATTCACTGCCTATATATGTTTTAAACATTCAGTTTACTGAGATTAAAGAAAAAAAATGTGATTCTAACAACGTTGAAAATATCAGAAAAAGACCAAAACACATCCCAACAAAGTTTGGCTTCCAAGAAATGAGATTATACTATAAACAGTATGTTTACAACACAGACAGTCTTGCACATTATCAAAGCATAACTTATGTTACTGAACATCAAGGAAGATTGATTAGGTAAAGCAGCATCTTGCCTTGGCAACTGTAATATCTGGGCCACATTAAGCTCCACAATGAACTGGAAAGAACAGTATTAGCATGGTGCCAGGAGAGAGGGGCAGGACAAACATATGGGCACAGGATATAAGTGACATCTTGGGTAGCAAAGTGCATATGATGGGAGATGTGGCGAGAGGATGTGTTTCATTCAAGCTGGCTGTGATGACAGCGACAGTCTGCTAAGGACCTGCTATACAATGATGACCCTAAGTAAAACTAACATGCGTGGGAGGTAATGCCTGAGGTCAGCTGCCAACTTAAACATTCAAGTCAGTGAGACATGCTTCTATTAGAGCCTTCAAAACAACACCCAGCACCAAATCCACTGAGAATCAGAAGATCAAAAGGTTAGGTCATCTCAATAGAAGACAGCAACAACAACTACAAACACAGGCCCTAGATTTGAAAACATTGAGCGTGAAAACAAGAAGATGCCCAATGAGACGATTAAAGCCATTCTACATCGACAAGAAATTACAATTTCCAGTTTTACCCACTAAGTAGTGGATCATAAAATGTTCCTCCCCCACAAGATATAATAGCAACACTAGAAACTGATGATAATAATGATTACTACCATGAAATATGTAAGAACACTTACAATCACTGTCAGCAAATACAATCTGAGGACTTTTGCCTCCAAGCTCCAGTGTCACTCTCTTCAGGTTAGTTCGTGCTGCCATTTGTGACACAAGCTGGCCAATCTGCAAGTAAAACAACAAACATCATCATCATGTATCAGCCATGTGCACCTGTGGAAAGGTGCCCCAGACAGCAGAGCATGTACTCCAGGACTGCACCAAATTTGACACATTAAGGCAAACCTTTTGGCCAGAAAGAACAACAGTGGAACGTAAACTCTATGGACCATTGAATGAAATAACAACAACAGTGAAATTTATACGAGACAAAATTGCTGATATAGACAACTTATTTCAGGCGAACGAAAGAAGAAGAAAAAGATCATCATCATCAAGCACCTTGCTGACTGGCGTAGCTGATCATGCCTTTGCACAATCTGTGATCTTCAACAGAAGGCATCAGTTTGTGTGCAGACACTTTTCCATGTCATGACAAAAGGCTGTCAAGAATGTTCTTGCATGGTCATCCTCTGTCTATTTTTCCGCAGATCTCTCCAGTGGTCCCAACATATTCCAGTTTCCTTCTTCTCATAACATGACCAAAAAAATGATGACTTCTTTTTCGGATAAGTTGTTTTTGAGCCTGCACCTTTTTCAAAGCATCTGAGTTGCTTTTTTCCGCTGCCCCCCCCCCCCCCCCCTCCCCCTTTTCTAAAAAAAAAAAAAAACACAGTCAATGCATTTTGCTTACCTAATTAAAGATACATTTTTAATGCACAAATAGTCACTTGTGATATTCAGTAAAATTTGCACACTATTTTGCAACATAAAAGGCATGTTAATTCTGGAACTTAATAGAGAAAATTCATTATATCACATCACTAGAGCCAAATAAAGTGGAGATTAAAATATCAACATGAGATGACAGGATTTAGTAAAAAAAGCTTAGTCTCAGATACAGCAGACAAACAATGTTGTGTGTTTTCAAACACAACCACTAGCGGCCAAGGTGGAATAATGTTCTGTGCATAAACCTGCTATTTTTGTGGAGTGGGTTGCATTCCCACCAGAGGCAAGGTTACAGTTTTCCACCAATGTGTCTTTGACGTCAACTGGGTCTCATAAAAGGCAAGAATATCTCTTTTCAGAAGAGGCTTTGAGGTATCATCGGATTGAATATTTTAACTTCTGTCTAGCTGTGACAGTTTCATAAGTAAAATAAAAGACTTTACTGCAGTAGCAGATAGCAGTATGTAGTTGCAGTAGTAGTAGTTGCAGAAGAACAGCAGAAGCAGTAGTAGCAGAACAGCGGTAGTAGCAGAAAAGCGGTAGTAGTAGTATTAATAGTAGTAGAGCAGTAATAGTAGTAGATTATTGTAAAGGAAGTGTTTGGGAAAGACGAGGTTGTGATGACTGGCGAAGATCTGGGATGAACAAATATATATTTATCTAAACCCACACTGTCTACCATATTAACTGGTACCTTGTGGACTGAACTCCACCTAAAACTACTGAGATTACATGCCATAAATTTAATCTCTGATATTTATGACTTAGAGCCGCTAAGACATCAACCTACTACTCCATTCTATTTAGTTCAATCCATCATTACCCTCCTGGAAGATTTATAAGTATTCCAGTCTTATCCAGATAATGCAGCGATAAACCATACTCATGGAATGTTCACTGAAAAAAACCCTAGATACATTAATTTTATCCTTTGTAGAGGGTTGGTTACACCATGCTATGTATGACTGTTTTGTCATATGGGTGGGGGACATCAGGCTGTAACAGTTGCTCTGCATCTTTGGGGTCCCCCCCCCCCCCCACCTCTCTCCCCCAACTGACGCTAATGTCACCCCAATTTCCATGGTTATCTCTTCATCGAACCCCAAGGGTTAGTGTCAATGAAGTTAATTTTCATGATCCTCACCAGTGCTGTGGAGTTCATGCACTGCACTGAGATTCTTCGGACTCAGGCTTGAGTCAGAAGTAGAACCGAGCACTTCTAGGTTACTACCCTTGTGCCATGATGTTGATACGTCATCTAAACCTAAAGTTAATTTTAATTCTTAATATAAAATTGTTCTATGATGTTGTTTGTTTTTTCAGCTAATGAAAACAATGACGGCATGACAAACAAAACTACAAAGAAGCTTCTTACTTCTGTGGATCCTGTGAAGGCAACTTTGTCTACATCCATATGCTGTGCAATGGCAGCACCAGCTGTTGGGCCATACCCAGGGACAATGTTTAAGACACCAGGTGGGTAACCAGCCTAAAAAGTTTCAGGTCACAAAAGGCATTAATAGATTATATATACTCATGAAATGAGTATTGCCTAACAAGGACACATTAATCTCTATCTATATACTGTGTGGAGTGACCAGGGAATCCGGTCGACACTCTACACTCGGAGGAAAGACAAGTTAAACGTTAGGTGTGTGTCCTTTACATGATGTTGCAGAACCAATATCAGTATTTTTTTACCGTTTGTGATTTTACTAGGCAATTGTATGTTCAGTAGTTTGCCACTGCTTCTTAATGGTCGGCTCTTGATACCAGTGTCAAAATCAACGAAAGGCAGTCTGCAGAAAGGCAAGATGGACATATAATCAAACCGCTACTGGAAACATCCGTAGTGGGACTCCTCGCCTGCTGCTGAAGATGAGGATGTAGCACTTATGGGAATCTCACAAGTGCTGTGGTGTTAGTTCTATTCTCTACACTACATACCACATGGAATGGACATTACGTCTTTCATTTTAAACTCTTGTTATCCCAAGTTTAAAAAAAATGTGTTCAGCTATTGGGCATGAATGTCAAGAAAAGCAATGTCTTTTATCATCATCATGTGCCTTGCCTTACGCCGCAGATGCTTATGTCTCTCCATAGATCTGGTTCTTTGATATTCTGAAGCAAATCCACTGATGATATTCCACCATGCCATCACTTCAGGCCATCAACCATCGGCTCTCTTGGTCATGTCTTTTATATCTTTTACAATTGGTCTGGGTATCCTCAAGAAATCTGGCAGATGTTATACAAGCTACACAGTATATGCCTCTTTGAAAATTTAAAAAATAAAAAGTTAGTTAATGGTCCTTTAAAGAATGTTGCAAATTAACCTCAGTACTTTACTGTTGAATGGTTTTACAAGGCAATTTATGTTCAGTAGTCTACCATTGCATTCTCAATGGTAGAATGCCCATACCATTGTCAAGATCAATTCCCAAACTGCCTGCAGCTGACTTTGATCCCTAGTATGCCAGGATTGTGAAATTCCCTTCACAATCTTTATGCTGCAAACACAGTTGTACACACATGCTACACATATCTGCACTTTTTGGCCCCACACATCCAGTTTCGGTAAACCCTTAATTAGTTGTCTTTTACAGCATACTAGTTAGTGGGTCTACCCCGACTACACCCTCTCCACCAAATCAATCAATCAATCAATCAGGTGCCGTCTCCAGTGAAGGTCAGCTGCAATGGATCTCCAAAATGCTATGCCTCTTGTCCTGGTTGTACACTCTCTTAAACTGCTGCCCGTCCATCTCTTAATGTTGTCCTTCCACGTGAATCATTGCCCACCTCTTGCTCTCTTGCCTTTGAATTTTCCCCCCAGTATGGTTTTTAAAAGCGTGTTATGTCTTTTAATGTGGTCAAACTATTTCAATTGTTCCCCCAAAGATAGCCCTAGAATCTACACATGTTATGTTTTTTAATGTGGTCAAACTATTTCAATTGTTCCCCTAAAGATGGCCCCAGAATCTACATATGTTATGTTTTTTAATGTGGTCAAACTATTTCAATTGTTCCCCCAAAGATGGCCCCAGAATCTACAAATGTTGTGTTTTTTTTATGTGGGCAAACTATCTCAATTGTTCCCCCAAAGATGGCCCCAGAATCTACAAATGTTATGTTTTTTAATGTGGTCAAACTATTTCAATTGTTCCCCTAAAGATGGCCCCAGAATCTACATATGTTATGTTATGTGTGGGCAAACTATCTCAATTGTTCCCCCAAAGATGGCCCCAGAATCTACAAATGTTATGTTTTTTAATGTGGGCAAACTATTTCAATTGTTCCCCCAAAGATGGCCCCAGAATCTACATATGTTATTTTTTTCAATGTGGGCAAACTATTTCAATTGTTGCCCCAAAGATGGCCCCAGAATCTACACGTTATGTTTTTTAATGTGGTCAAACTATTTCAACTGTTCTCCAAAAGATGGCCCCAGAATCTACATATGTTATGTTTTTTAATGTGGTCAACTATTTCAATTGTTCCCCCAAAGATGGCTCCAGAACCTACACATGTTATGTTTTTTAATGTGGTCAAACCATTTCAACTGCTCCCCCAAAGATGGCCCTAGAATCCACAAATGTTATGTTTTTTAATGTGGCCAAACCATTTCAATTGTTCCCCCAAAGATATCCCTAGAATCTACACATGTTATGTTTTTCAATGTGGTCAAACTATTTCAATTGTTCCACCAAAGATGGCCCCAGAATCTACATATGTTATGTTTTTAATGTGGTCAAACTATTTCAATTGTTCCCCCAAAGATGGCTCCAGAATCCACATGTTATGTTTTTTAATGTGGTCAAACCATTTCAACCGTTCCCCCAAAGATGGCTCCAGAATCCATACAGGTAGGACACAAGTAGTGAAAGAAAAGAAGGCTAACACAAACCTCAGCTGCCAGCTGGGCAATGTAGAGAGCTGTGAGAGGAGTCTGCTCCGCAGGTTTCATGACAACCGTGTTTCCCATGGCTAGAGCTGGGCCAAGTTTCCAGGCTTGCATCAATAACGGGAAATTCCACTGAAAGTTAATAATACAAAATTTAAAATCAACCTGATTAACTCTTTCAATATTTGACAATGCACCACACATTTACTGATTATGCTATATCCTGTGTACATCTCACATTTTCTTTTGTCACATTGTTTCTATTACTTTAACCCATTATGCCCTTATTCCTATTTGATCTAGCTCTTTCCCATAATCATTTTCTAACTCAGAAAGACTCAAAGATTTGCACTATAAAGTATACAGAACTTGGGATTAAAAGTATTGTAGTAACGCCCGTTGAAGGCTGAAAGAGCTAAAATGCATCAAAAACAGGGGTGACTGCAGCTGAGTTGATTTCACGAAGTAAGTTATCACAACAATTATGAGAGAGCTAAACTGAAGCAAAGGCAAAAGGTAAGTTTTCCGACTTGTCTATGGTGACCTGTTTACAAGACATATAGTTAATGCCTGCACTTATGAGGTCAGCATGTGAATATACTAACTAAAAATATAACTGGATGTAGGGATGGAAAAGGGGAGGGGCCTTTCAAACTAAATGGGTAAAAAAAATCCAAGCTGACGTCAAATTTTCCTGTAAGCCTCAGTGATAGACGTCAGGCATGAGTCACCCTTACTTTGTCGCTCATCTTCTACCCTTGGAATGTAGAGGTTTGCCAGACTTCTCTATCAGCTGTTTTCTTTCTGGCTTTTTTCCATTCCAGCCCTCTGTCAGTCATGGACTGTTGGATGTTGTCTTCCCAGTGGACTCTGGGTAGCCCTGGAGGTCTGGTTCCTTGGTTCCTAGCCTCCTATGACTGATTTTCTCCCATTCTGCACACAGGCTGATTGGTGAAACATACGATTAAACCTACAAGGGGGGAAAAAGCAAACAAATATAAAACTGAAAAGGGCAGGGTAAACATACAGAAAAAAAACCCAGAAGGCACACAAAACTAAATAAAAGAAATAAAAGAAAACTTACTGGAATAATCTGTCCACAAACTCCAACTGGCTCATGACGAACATAAGAGAAGTAATTTCCATCTAGAAATAGCAGACCAGACAAACAAAAAAGTTTTCTCAAATTCTGTATTTCTTCCTGCAGGTATCACCTGTATTTTCTACAGTAAACAACAAACCTCAGAAGAATGGATACATTTCTAATCCAAAATTTAGTTGCTTCACATGCACCCATGCATGTGTATACATGGTTTCTATATACTTTACTATCTATTCAAATCTACAAAAGTGGAATCATAACATTCTAAAATCTGTGTGCAATATTTTACAAAGACAGATTTTTTTTTACAAGGCCTTTAACGGCTGAAATCGACCCGGGGAAGGGGGGGGGGGGGGTCACTTCTCAGTGTGCCTGACCTGGTGGTGAACACAGTCACAGAAGTCACGCCGCTTCGAAACTTCCTACTCCACTCACACACTTACAGATTTCACTCTTCACTGATCAAATAAAAAAGAAAAATGAGTTAACAGAATACTGCTCCCGTTTAGCGTACACTAAAAGCGTGACAGCCGTCTTTAAACTCTTATTAATATGTCACCATGTTCGCCTGCCAAGTGATGACACATGCTCAACATTCTTTACTTCCTGAACTACAATACTGACATGTTACAGGGCAATGACATAATTATTTCAATTTCTAGCATATTTTCAAGGTTTTCATTTGAATACCCCTCTTATAAAAGATCTAGATGGGATATCCGAGTCTGACTTGTGTGTCTATATGGGTGGCAGCTATGCGTGTTGGGAGAATGAAAAACTTGTGGCTGTACTCCACATCCCTTGTCCACAGGGAACTGACAACATGAAAAACCCACACCTTGTACCTTGCTTGGTTTGGAGAGGCAGCCCATTGTCATATTTAGACGTGGTGCATGTTAAAATTAACAACACAAAGGCAGACACATTTCAGCCTTCGGACACTGTTTTTTTTAAAACTTGCAAGATATAAACTCACCCATTGGAACCACTTTTCCTCCATTTTTTGTTGCCCAACCTGCATGATATCTGCAAAACAAAACAAAATAAAAACTCCACTTATAACTGACTGATAAAATAAAGATTCAAACAGTTTAAACAACTTTAATGAAGTACTAAAGTGAATCTTATCAGAACTATATTTTGGCCAACACTATGCTATCAGTGTCGAATGTGGACACTTACATCCTCTAACGAACATAAAATTGGGCTATCTTCCGAATAACGGTCCGAAATTATCGAGGCAGCAAATATACACTAACAGGGCCTCAGTCATGTGTCAATTGCGCACTTCCAGGAACTATACCGCCATCACTGAATTGCAGACTTCCGGGGACTATACCGCCACCACCGAGAGCTCATGCGGTGTGGACTGGGGCTAAACTAGATGGCTGGGTCTCACGAGCAAATAAAATCAAGGCCGGAAATGCGGGGGATACTCTCTGCGGAAATTGCGGGGATACTCTCGGCGGCGGCCAGAGTGCGCAATTAAGTCATGGGAAGTGCGCAATTGACACGTGACTGAGGCCCTGTTAGGGTATATTTTCTGTCTCGATAATTTGGGACCGTTATTCGGAAGATAGCCTAAAATTGTGACAACAGAGATGAAATGTCTTAGAAGAGCTGCAGGAGTTTCAAGGAAAGACAGAATATGAAATCAAAAAATTGACTAATGCTAGGAAAAAAGCCAATTTTACATGTCATCAAAGAACAATAAATTAAGTGTTTTGGACATCTAACAAGAATGCCCTGGTACTATCTGCCACAGCGAGCCACACTGAAACGTTATAACGGAAATAGGGCGAGGGGAAGACCTCGTAAAATATGTAGTGATGGCATTAAGAACAGCCTTACAGAAATGAACATCAATCTTAATAGTGCTCTTGACAGAGCCCATCAACGAATGTTGCCATTCCCCACTTTGATGAGGTACAAGGTGTAAGAGAAGAAGAATTTTTTTTTTATGTTTCATTTTTTTGTTGTTGAAACAATAACCTAACACAATTCTGTGTTTTTATCTCTTAATTATTATTCATAACCTTACACAATTCTGTGTGTCATCTTTTAACCCTCTTAGCACGGACGGGCCGATTATCGGCCGGCGGATGTCTGGCCAAAAACACGGAACGGCAGATCATCGGCCCAGTCGTGTTTCGCCTCGAACCGCTAAGAAATCTCCTATTTTGAAACACTGAAAGTGATTCATTGATATTCACTGCTGTATTAGCTTTATACATGGCAACTTTCTAGTGTTTGGTTTAGAAGTGAAAATTGTTGTTGAATTTTTTAGATAGTGACCTGAACCTCTAAAAGTATGTCTGACTCATATGTTTCTGCCCCTAAACTTGATGTTGATAAAACATTTGAATCAAGTGATGACACTAATTCTGTTGATACTGATGCAGGATTTGGTGTTAGTAGTAATAGTGGGAACCAGATGGGGACGCTGTTGTGTTCAGACCACAGCCCAACCATGGCTCAGGGTATATCCACCCGAAGGTGTTGACACTCAGGCACATCCATTTCTTGTGCTAAATGATGGTCAAAAACACATGTCACCTAAAGATATTATTGATGTTTCATATATATTTACCTGTTTTTGACTATTGAATTGCTTACAACATTTGTAAAAAGGCCAAAGATCAATAAAAAGATTTCAAATAAAAAATATTTTTGTTTTTAGTTATATGTTTCATGCATTGAAGTTGAAAATTCTCATTCTAATTTTCTATTTTTAGATATTTAAATGAGATAATTTGCATATACATCAATTAATTTTAACGATATTGTGAAAATTATGAACTTCAATCTATATCCTTCAAATAGATATATTATTTCATGGGGGTCAGAATAACAGATATGTGTCTAAAAAATTAAATAAAGTAATAACTAAATTTACTGAAAAAATGCTCTGTGTTTTTGGCTAGACATCTGAAAAACTTCCTGTGCTAAAAGGGTTAAATAATATTTACACTGAAATGTATGTGTTACTAGATTCATTTGAGGAAAAGGGGAAAAAGGGGAAGACAATTAACTTTTTAAAAATTCATAAGAATTAACCAGAAAAAGTAAATTCTGTTAATTCTGGGGCATAACCAGCAGGCTTTCATAAAAAATATCAGAACTAAGCAGTAAATGTAAAGTAAGTTCATTTTGGGTGACAGTAGTATTTCCTAGAAGATCAAGATTAAATGTTTAATGTAGACTTGGTAGTACCTAATGTATAACAAAAGTGATTTTTGCAGTCAGTGGGCTCACAGCTCAGCAGCTTGCAAGTACCAGTGAAGCAAACGGCCAGGATACTAAGCCAGGAAGTACGTCAGGGTCAGAAATGACTGTCAGTCAGTGCCTGAGACAGAAGGATGTTGGCAAACAAGATTAATGCCACCAAGAAATGACTGTCAGTCAGTGCCTGAGACAGAAGGATGTTGGCAAACAAGATTAATGCCACCAAGAAATGACTGTCAGTCAGTGCCTGAGACAGAAGGTTGTGGGCAGACAAGATCAATGATAATAAGATAATAAAAAGAACACCACAGCGGAGCATACACAGTAGGAGTCCACCGATCATCAGTAGAAGGGTCCCTCGTCGACAATTGTTTTGGCTCATCCTTCCCCTATACAATCTCGGAGGGTGGGCCAATTTGGGTCACGATGCCAGGTCTCAGACATTTGCTGCACGTAGCGGACAATCAAAATCAAACAAGATGAAAAGGTGGTTTTGCAACTGGTATTATGAGGTTTGGTGTTATATGTACGTGTCGCTGCGGTAGCAAAATAGCTGCCTACATTCACGACCAAAGTAACAAGCTTACAGTTGGTTCATTGAATGGATGTTAGACCTTGGGAAATGGCAGAGAGGCTTTAAAGGGATGAAAAGTTCTTTTCCACTAGGGGCTCAGACTAGTCTACCGAGGCCCATCTCCCACGATGTGCAGTTGCGTCCAAAGCCAACTGAAGCCCTTTCTGCTGCTTCACTCAGAAAAGACTAGCAATGCCTTAGACAGAAGGATGTGGGCAGACAAGATCAATATCACCAAGAACAGGAGTCATGTCACCCTATTGCAGAATATCATGGTCTCTCTCACTCTCCCCCCTCTCTTAATTACAGAATGTGTAACGACATTAATTTTCACACTTTAAAGAACTTGGGGATGGTAAATTACCACTCACCTGGATGCTCAAACACACATGCATGCGCTCTCTCACACACAAACACACACAATTTTACACTGCCTTATAGAATGTGTCACAGAATTATGTATTCTTACTTTACGGTACTTTGAAATGGTACAATAATCACTTATATGCAAACAATTGTGTGCATGCACACATGACACTTTACACCCTATTACAGCCAGTGCACTGGTATTACTTTCTCACTTTACAGCACTTGTGAATGCTACTGTGGCAAAGCAACCGCTTACTTTTAATATATTCTGTAATTCATCAATTATATGTAAAAGCCGAGAGTTACCTGTAGCATTTGATTGTCAGGTCCAAATCCACGGCAAATGAGGCACTGAATGGCTTGCCATTGTCTAGCGTTTCCAAAGACTGCAAAGCATAATTGCAATTAAGAAAGTAATATTTACATGCTTAAAAGACAGTTTCAGGATAAGGGTTATATGTGAGGGGACAGTACAGCCCTCATGGAGCTAAGATTCCGTTCAGCCCAGTGTAGGTTTCTGGGCCCCATTTTGTGGGTGGAGAAACGGAGCGGGGGAATAAATGCACTGACGCCCTAAAATGCATGTCGTAATGATGACTAACTAGGGTTTTTCCTTTGAAATCAGAGTGCATCTGCTTCAGAGGCAAGGAACCAGTAGTCTTCCTTTAAAAAAAAGCCATATCTTTAAATCGGATGTGCAAGCAAAACTCATTCTTAAACACAACTAAAGTCTGCACATCGAAACAAACAAAAAAACTAGAACTTTCTGCCCCAGGAGTTTACAGCCAGTGAATGGGAAAAAGAAATTTGGTTCAGATTACTGCACTCCACATATGTTCATAGGTACTCTTCACTCCGACTTCCTACTGAGAGGACGTGTTTTTTCCTAGCTCTTAGTTCTTACTATTTTGATTTGTTATTCTAATTGTGCCTGTGAACTAGCGACGTATTTACTATCGTTGTAATCGTTATTTCGTAAGACGTGCAGTGAAATATTGTTTCACGCAATTAGATGTCATGATTGCATGCAAATGTGGTTTTTGTAGCATTTTCAAACATATTTTGAGCGGAAATGTGCCGATGATACAGACACATGAACCATGGATGCGAAGGTCAGTGGGCGTTTTGTCCGCGTCACTGAGATTTATCACCACCCAGAACACTGGCTAACCGAGAGACATCCCGCAAGTGTCACACCATAGAAACAAAACATTTGTGACTACGATAGGACTGAGCTTTTTTAAAAGATAGTAATGCTAGGGAAATGCTAGCTGCTGGACTCACTCAACGAACCATAGGCATCCGGACCATCCCATTCTCTAATGATACTACGAAGAACATTATACGCGCGGTATTTCCAACGGTTATTAAAGGCGACTTGCCCGCTACTATCTGTGTGAGACAGAAAGAGGACAATAAATCTTACACCAGTAAAACGTGAATATGAAACCAGGCCATCAACCAATATACGCCCCGCTCTCTTGGGCACCTAGACGCCGTTTAATGGAGCAACATTTGTTCTCACGCAGGCGGGTTCACGAATGGAAGAAGAAATAATTACAGACACTCGGAATTCTCTTCTTGTAAATATTTCACCTCTCTTCGCGATGACATCTCATCAGAATACACCAGATACACCTGAGAACATGACATTCTCTAAGCACCCTGCTACAACAGTTCCATCTTTGACCCCGTGGCCACCTAGAAATGAACGTAGAGACACAGCACTTGATTTTCTGTTCTCAGACCTTAATCGATGCACGCAAAAACTATATGGCTGACAACAAGCACGTTTGGATATCGAAACAGAAGACTCAATGAAAGCTATACATTTGCTGTAATTAGCTACGCGGCGATCCCTCTCTCTCTCTCTCCATCTCTCTCTTTCTGTCTACGCCGATTTATGCATGTATTGGCTGAGCTGTTAATAATTATTATTAGTCATCGCTAGTGTATTACTATTGTTAGAACCTAGAAAATGTGAAAGCAACCCCTGGTGGCTTGCAGAATACATTTTTCAAGCAATGTTACCCTACCACAAAGTATGCATCTCTTTCTGAAACCGTCCCTTGGGTGCACCTTTCTACGGCAGTCCTTTATTACAGCCAACTTTCTGTCACAGCAGGGAATGTATCTGATCTGACTGAGCCATTTGAATTTACTGTCCTCGTCTTGGAGCCAGTAATGCCAACCTTGTGTGCATAGGGAATTCCCTGTGTCAGTGTCTTACATATTTGTGGTCATTCGGCATGATTCTTCCCTTGTCTCACTCTCTCCCTCTCCCAATATATATATATATATATATATATATATATATATATATACTTATATTAATATGTAGTCATGTGTGCTACACCAGCATGCAAGCAGGTGGCAGGTAATGAGTCTATGTGTATATATATATATGTGTGTGTGTGTGTGTTAACTACTGAGCGTTTAAGTATGAGTGCTGAATTTTAGTAATACAGTGAGATAGTATTTTGGCTACGGGACACCAGTAGCACACATATATCTTCGTATAGGGAGTCGGCAGTCCGAAACCCAAGTTCAAGGTGCCAAAGAACTGCATGGCTGTTGGGTGAACAGTCGTTAACAAAGGCAGTCAGGTCGTTGTTGGGGCGACGCTTGCTGGTGGATGTAATGTCCTAAATCCCTTCCCCAGCTAATAGTAGGGTACTGCTGGGGTGACAGTTTTTTAACCCTCACATAATGCTTCAGGTTTAAATGAACACTAGACACTGCCAGTTTTGAGCTGAGGCAAATTTTTTTTGCTTCTGCCAGACTGTAGCCATTTTTTTTTTGCTCCATTTGAAGACTGGAAGTATATAGTTTCGTTACCCAGCTTCTGAGTTGAGTGCATGGTGTGACACTGTGAGCTGCGGATTTTATTTCGAATGTTTTTCGACTGACCAACGTGGTGGTGTGATTTGTAGATTCAGAAAATGGCACGATGCCAGTTGTCGCAATATTGGTGGGGCCATTATTTGATTAAAATTGATCGCGTGTGCAACTGCTGATCTTTTGGTGACTTCTGCTTTCATTAATGATGAACTTCATTTCTTACATCAGACTGTTTGTGTTAGCACTTCAGATGGCTACCATATGCTTTTAATGCGAGTGTATGCTAGATTTGCTGAGACAGCAGTTTGTCAGTCTTTCCACAAGGGACTGTGATAAACATTCTGTGTGTTTTTCGTTGGCACAGGAGCGGAGCAAAGATGGGGTTACCCGTTTGCTATGAAGCTGAAATTAAAATTACCAGATTACCAGGTACTCTAATCATAATAAATCATTTTGTTTACTGTGTGTCTGTCATATCAAGCCAACATACACTTGATGCTCCACTTGTTATTGGCCACACCAATCTTGAATTTCTGAATTTCATTCAGCTGAAAATCCTTTAAAGGCATTCATGTCAATTGCCTATCTAATCAAGTGGCTGTGCTGGCCTGCCTAACCACTCTTTCATTTCCTACAGAACCCACATAGGTTACACTTTCAATATTAGGTTAACTTTCTTTAGTTAGGAGCAGAAACAAGAGCAAGAGAATGCTCACCCTATTTAAACTTGAACACACTTCGATGAACAGAACAAATGAATAAAAAACAGTTTATGCATTTCTTAATTCATTTTGCTCCATTCTTCATTATTTGAAGCCATACTATGCCAGATTTTACTGTAACTCAGTTTGTTACATATTCCTATTAATTTGACTCATTTAGATTCAAACACTGCTATTCTAAAGTAAACACACTTTCAGATAGCCAGTGATGAAGAAATAACTGTGCGAGACTAACAAAGTTTATATTTAAGAAGTTTCGTTTCATACCGCCAGGTAATTTCTGTCACGCTCGATAAGATCAGCCAATCTGAGCATCAGGTTCTGCCTGTCTGTTGCATCCATTGTACGCCATGGTGATCCCAGCTTAAAAGCTTCTCTTGCTGCATTTACTGCTCTGTCAACATCGGCCTGTATGTAATAAAAGATGGGACAGGATAAACAAATTTGTTATAGCTTAAACAGGAACATTTTCATGCCTTAGTAAAACAAATTCAGCAGACCATAACTGTGCTGTCCCTATTATTTCTAATATATAATAATTTTTTTCTCTCTCTAATTATGTGTGAATATATACATTCATAACATAAGTAAAGAAAAATACAGCCTACGAACACAGTATCAGAGGAAAATATTGTGCCTTTGTTAGAATCTTTGTATCTTTCCAGAAGATAGTTTTCAATTGTGCCGTAGGAAAGCTTAGGACTTATGGACCATGGTGATGGCGGATGTGACTAGCAAAACCTCCGTTTGCGTCAAGAAAAGTCTTCCACAATAAAATTCCAGCATCAGATTTCAGGACTACTGTTGCCATCACATTTACTTAACATGCTTTCCCCATTACATTTACTTAACATGCTTTCCCCTTTACATTTATTTAACATGCTTTCGCCATCACATTTATTTAACATGCTTTCGCCATCACATTTATTTAACATGCTTTTCCCATCACATTTACTTAACATGCTTTCCCCTTTACATTTATTTAACATGCTTTCGCCATCACATTTATTTAACATGCTTTCGCCATCACATTTATTTAACATGCTTTCGCCATCACATTTATTTAACATGCTTTTCCCATCACATTTACTTAACATGCTTTCCCCTTTACATTTATTTAACATGCTTTCGCCATCACATTTATTTAACATGCTTTCGCCATCACATTTATTTAACATGCTTTCGCCATCACATTTATTTAACATGCTTTTCCCATCACATTTACTTAACATGCTTTCCCCATCACATTTACTTAACATGCTTTCCCTGTTACATTTACTTAACATGCTTTCCCCATCACATTTACTTAACATATTTACCCCATCACATTTACTTAACATGCTTTCCCTATTACATTTACTTAACATGCTTTCCCCATCACATTTACTTAACATATTTACCCCATCACATTTACTTAACATGCTTTCCCCATCACATTTACTTAACATGCTTTCCCTATTACATTTACTTAACATGCTTTCCCCATCACATTTACTTAACATGCTTTCCCCTTTACATTTATTTAACATGCTTTCGCCATCACATTTATTTAACATGCTTTTCCCATCACATTTACTTAACATGCTTTCCCCATCACATTTACTTAACATGCTTTCCCTATTACATTTACTTAACATGCTTTCCCCATTATATTTACTTAACATATTTACCCCATCACATTTATTTAACATACTTACCCCATCAAATTTATTTAACATACTTACCCCATAACATTTACTTAACATACTTTCCCCGTCACATTTACTTAACATACTTTCCCCATCACATTTACTTAACATACTTTCCCCATCACATTTACTTAACATACTTACCCCATCACACTTTACTTAACATACTTTCCCCATCACATTTACTTAACATACTTTCCCCATCACATTTACTTAACATACTTTCCCCATCACATTTACTTAACATACTTACCCCATCACACTTTACTTAACATACTTTCCCCATCACATTTACTTAACATGCTTTCCCCATCACATTTACTAAACATGCTTTCCCCATCACATTTACTTAACATGCTTTCCCCATCACATTTACTTAACATGCTTTCCTCATGACATTTACTTAACATGCTTTCCCCATCACATTTACTTAACATACTTTCCCCATCACATTTACTTAACATACTTTCCCCATCACATTTACTTAACATACTTTCCCCGTCACATTTACTTAACATACTTTCCCCATCACATTTACTTAACATACTTTCCCCATCACATTTACTTAACATACTTTCCCCATCACATTTACTTAACATACTTTCCCCATCACATTTACTTAACATACTTTCCCCATCACACTTTACTTAACATACTTTCCCCATCACATTTACTTAACATACTTACCCCATCACACTTTACTTAACATACTTTCCCCATCACATTTACTTAACATGCTTTCCCCATCACATTTACTAAACATGCTTTCCCCATCACATTTACTTAACATGCTTTCCCCATCACATTTACTTAACATGCTTTCCTCATGACATTTACTTAACATGCTTTCCCCATCACATTTACTTAACATACTTTCCCCATCACATTTACTTAACATACTTTCCCCATCACATTTACTTAACATACTTTCCCCGTCACATTTACTTAACATACTTTCCCCATCACATTTACTTAACATACTTTCCCCATCACATTTACTTAACATACTTTCCCCATCACATTTACTTAACATACTTTCCCCATCACATTTACTTAACATACTTTCCCCATCACATTTACTTAACATGCTTTCCCCATCACATTTACTTAACATACTTTCCCCATCACATTTACTTAACATACTTTCCCCATCACATTTACTTAACATACTTTTCTTATCACATTTACTTAACATACTTTCCCCATCACATTTACTTAACATACTTTCCCCATCACATTTACTTAACATACTTTCCCCATCACATTTACTTAACACACTTACCCCATCACATTTACTTAACATACTTTTCTTATCACATTTACTTAACATACTTTCCCCATCACATTTACTTAACATACTTTCCCCATCACATTTACTTAACATACTTTCCCCATCACATTTACTTAACATACTTACCCCATCACATTTACTTAACATACTTACCCCATCACATTTACTTAACATACTTACCCCATCACATTTACTTAACATACTTACCCCATCACATTTACTTAACATACTTTCCCCATCACATTTACTTAACATGCTTTCCCCATCACATTTACTTAACATACTTACCCCATCACATTTACTTAACATACTTTCCCCATCACATTTACTTAACATGCTTTCCCCATCACATTTACTTAACATACTTACTCCATCAAATTTACTTAACATACTTTCCCCAACACATTTACTTAACATACTTTCCCCATCACATTTACTTAACATACTTTTCTTATCACATTTACTTAACATACTTACTCCATCAAATTTACTTAACATACTTTCCCCAACACATTTACTTCACATACTTTTCTTATCACATTTACTTAACATACTTTTCTTATCACATTTACTTAACATACTTACTCCATCAAATTTACTTAACATACTGTCCCCATCACATTTACTTAACATACTGTCCCCATCACATTTACTTAACATACTTTCCCCACTATCATCTGCAAGATAAGAGATAAACCAAATTCAGTGCTATCTGACATCCTAGATCACACAGTTCTTCAGTGTTATTTATGGCTCATTCTATATCCTCCTTAAATTCTGATAAGCGTGCAAAAATAATTTCTGAAGATAAAGCAAACTCAATTCTAGCAGTTTCTGATTTTGGTATTTATAACTGATTCTGCATTCAGGATTATTTACCACACACTGAAGAGACATTTGCTAGAAGTGATCAGGGCAGTATAAATAAGAAGGGTCACGTGATCAATCTAAAGTTACCAGAGTAATCATGTGAATGATTTTTGAATTTCTTGTAGATAGATGTAGAGAAACTTAACAATATGATGTATGCATTTCAGCAAGAAAAGGTTTTCATTCTGTGCTTCATTATATGTTGATTTAACTCTGTAGTATGCCGCCGATGAGATACAGCAAAATATGTCAGGCAATATATTTTTGTTTCCACATTTTTAAAGTTACAATTGGAAAACATTGTTTTGAATGTATAATTACTCTGTTTCTTCTCAAAAGTAATTTTTTTCTCCCAAATAACGTGCTCAAACATCCAAGACCTACAACAGATTGCAACGAACCGCCATGCATGGAGAGTCATGACCTCTGCCCTATGTGCCGCACTTGACACCAGAGGAAAGACTAACTAACTAACTAACTAAATAACGTGTCACCACAAAATCATTTGAATTATAAAGATAAGAGATGCTAGTTCAGATAACTTCTTACTTGCTTTCTTAAACCTTATATTCACAAATTTCAATTACTACATCACACATTTAATTTCAAATCCCATTGTTTTGAATTTATAATTACTCTGTTTCTTCTCAAAAGTAATTGTTTTCTCCCAAATAACATATCACCAGAAAATCATTTCAATTATAAAGAGAAGAGATGATAGTTTAGATAACTTCTTACTTGCTTGCTATCTTAAACCTTATATAAACAAACTTCCATTACTACATCACACATTTAATTTGAAATCTCATTCTTCTTCTTCTTCTGCGTTCAACCGAAGATGTAATGTACATTGTGTCCGTTTACAGCATGTCTGCGATATTTGCACCCTTCGGCCAACACATTCGACTTCTGCGGGCATTTGTTGATCGGGTTGAAATCCCATTCAACATATAAAAAGGAAACATTGTACACTCTCAACATGAACACACCTTGTCTCCCTCAGCCACTTCACAAATGACTTCCTCTGTTGTAGGGTTGATGGTCTTGAATGTTTTACCACTGAGAGCATCAACAAACTGATTGTTGATAAAGATCTGGGGAGTAAAAAAGAAGATGAATTCACATTTTTATAAAGGAAGAACAAACACACTATAAACTGTAAACCACTGTAAGTATTCTATGGTAAGTAGATATCTTCCGTATTAATAACAAAAAATTTCAAGGACAGTGATCTACTCTATTCTTCTTCTGCATTAGCCCTAAAAATGGCAACTGGTATGATGTGTTGTGGTTTACAGCCAGGCTGGGGTATCTACTGTAGACCAACACATCTGATTTTAGCAAAAATATAAATTTTCTTTTATAAAATTCTTATTGAGACAAGGTGGGTCTATCCAGCCTCCCCCAACCCACCAAAATAAGGCTGGCCCTGAAACTCACATGAAAAGGACCAGACCCTGTCCACCTAGAGAAACATTTCTAACTGGTGCAGTTTACATCTAGGATGGCTTATATTTTAGCTAGGTGACTGATTTATGATGCAACTTATGATGGGTACCCAATATGTGCCAACTGCACAAAGAACGGTTTATATTTTGTTCTTGGCCATTCACCGATTCACTGTGCCAGCTTATGAGGGTATTTTCTAGGGTGATGTATGGGATGAAGAGATGGGATGGATGGGGGGAGGGGGTGGATCCTCACAGGTGCTAACAATGCCAAAAAAGTAATTGAGATGGAAGGGTTCAGGTGCGGAAAAGGACCACACATGAACACATATAGATAAGCATGTGCGGGAGCCACGTTAGGGCAGTTTATAGGAGACTTGCTTTAAATTCAGCTGCGACTCGCTGCAGCCCACAGCCGGTGTTTGAAACCAGGCGGTTCCCGGGGTTCACCGAGAATCTAGATAATGGATTCCAGAGTTAACACTCTGGGGTAAATGGAGGAACGTCACTGTAGCTACGGAGTTGCGTGCGGATGGTGACACAGGCAGACAGTATCTCATTATCTTTCTGTACTGGTGGCAGAGCTTTTATGGTTTATAACTGTGTGCAATTAGGCTGGTTTACATCTCCCGACTTTACATTTTTACCTTTACTTTTAGCTAACCATGTGCATTGAACATAAACTAACTAAAATCCTGGAGGATGGGGAGAAGATCACAACTGACACATATAGATACCCATTTGCAATGAATATAAACTAAGTAAAACCCAGGAGGATGGAAAGGGGGGAGGACTCTAATCCCTTTTCTCTCAGCCATAAATAATGGCAAAATGACAGGCACTTTTCAAAACACTGAACATTCATTCAATTTATTGATGTTGTAATAATTTACCAATAATGCAGAAGGAAAGAGACACAGAGAGAGAGAGAGAGAGAGAGAGAGAGAGAGAGAGAGAGAGAGAGAGAGAGAGAGAGAGAGAGAGAGAGAGAGAGAGAGAGAGAGAGAGAGAGAAAGAGAGATAGAGATAGAGAGGTATCTTATTTCCAACAGTGTGGATCCCAACTTTCAAACAAAAACCAAAAATGCAATTATATATGCAGACAAGCACAGAGACAACAGAACTATAGACAAACATAAAAACAGAACTATATTAGTAAAATAGTCAAAGAAAAAAATAAGGAGAAGAATATGCATACATACACAATAATACATGTATATATAAAGTCTAATAAAACTCAGAATAACTCAAACTGTAAATATCAGTATGCAGCCATTTTCTAACAAATACGCTGACTGGTGAATTTTATAAAAACAATGATAAAATTTCATGTGGGAATGACTAAGCTGGAGAGTTGTGCCAATTGACTAGCTGCTCTAATAACCAGCCATGTTAACATTTGAAGACTTTTTTTACGGCTTTTAACGCTGCCAAAACATTGACCCAAGATTTCTATTCATGGTGGTAATACAGAAGGTATCTGAGACAAACTTCACTCTCCATTTAACAATTTCAAAAAAATGGCATTCCATAGAAAAAAAAACTTGTGCAACAAGAAAGAAGCTTATTATGTTTCAAAGTGCTTGACACTGCTGTAGTTGTTACACAGCTTTCTGCTGAGCTGTTATGGTTAATTCAAAGAGATAAATGGTGGTTGGAAAACAGGGGATAAAGAACTAGGCAAGCATATAAATGGAATAAGGTGTAAAAGGTGATGGAATAAAGTAAAAAGAGAAACAAGGAATGCTAGTATTAAATTAAATCTTGAAAAAAGATCCAAGGTTTTGATTTTTTTTTTAAAAGAATTAAAAAAAAAAAGACACACACACAAATGGAATGTGCAAGAATGCAGGCAAGAAAAAAGAGGAGAAATAAAAAATAAAATAAAAATAAACTAGAAAGTACAAACTATGAAAACGAAAGAGGGAAAGAGTGAAGATAAGAGACAGAAATAGAAGGAGGGAAAGCAAACAAGAGGAGAAGGGATGGAGGAAAGGAGAGCAAGTGGAGGAGAAAGGATGGGAGAGAGGAAGAGAGAGCAAAAGAGTTAGAAAAAGAGGGAAAGGAGAGAGATCAGAGAGGGAGAGAGAGAGCAACAGTTGGAGGAAGGAAGACAGAACAACAGGGGAAGGAAAGGGGGTGGGGGAGGGGGGGGGGGTAGATGAGGAAGAGACAAGCAGTCAGTCATGCTGGCAGGCAGGCAGACAGAGAGACAGACAGGGAGGGATAAGATCTTATACTAAGAAAAAAGCCTAATCTACAAATATTTTTTTTAAAGCCTCATGCTTCATGCAAAGTGTCGGGCATAGCTTCAGAGGCCTTGGGGGGTTAGAGACCTTCAGGTATTTTCTCCAGGAAATGCAAGCGCACTGGTTAATGAAGAGGTAAATACACTGGCTTATTTGTTCCCTGCCTCTCAGGCAGATGCATTCTGATTTTGAAGAAACACCCCTAATTAGTCAACTTTTATGAGATACATATTAAGGGACAGTGGGTCTTTTCCCCTTTCCCCAAATAGGGCCTAAGAACCCACAAAGGAACTCTAAATGATAAAAATGGAAGTCACTCTTACTATCAGAATCTGTCGCCAGAGTGAGGTTTCAGTCATCTTCTTACTATTGCTGTTACATACATCATAATCATTATTAAGTGCCTTGCCAGATGGCATAGGTGTTCATGCATCTCCACAAATCACAGTTTCTGGTATTCTAGATCAATTCTACTATTGATATTCCTCCATGTCACTGTCTTAAGCCATACAACATCATTTCTCTCAGTGATCTTTCCAGTCGTCACAAATTTGTCAGTGCTTCTTTTCTCATCACATGACTAAAGACCTCTGTCTCTTTCTCATTGTTGTACATAATGTTTTACTTTCATTAGCCATTTTCCAGGCAATCACTGTAAGTTATTCTGGGAGTCCAAGGTATTGGCAAAATTGTTTTTAAGAACCACATCATAGCTGCGTCCAAACTCTTCTTAGTTACAAACATGAAAGTAATAAAAGGAGCTCTTTCTGCACCTTGGATGATACGGTCAATATCATAGCAAGTTATTTCCCATAACACTTCCTGGTTTTCATTCTTAAATTAGGCTAATTTGGGAACTTTTTAACACTAGGGATTGAAACCTGTAACTACTGGACTAACAAGTGAGCATTCCAGCAGCTCCCTTAAAGAAGCTGTGTAAGCTCAAATAAATCTGCTATATCTTATCTTTTGGAAGAGGTAGAGAGCACAGATAAAGAGATAGAGAGATAGATAGAGATAGAGAGAGAGAGAGAGAGAGAGAGAGAGAGAGCCAAAAGTGAGTGAGTGAGTGAGTGAGTGAGTGAGAGAGAGAAATAAGACATGGGAGTGGGAGAGAGATGTGAATTTATAAAATGAAACTGGTGGAATGTACAGACGTAATGTATTTGTAAATATGGAATTAGATTGACTAAATTTATGAGAACATGATTTAAATCAGTGATATTACTGTCTGATTTAAATAGGATATGTTCGTTTTAATTCAGAACATAGGCTAGACTTGATAAGCTAATCCTGATCTACATAAGTGAATCATGGACAGGTGATTAGTGAAACATTCTGTGGAGCTGCACAAATGTGGTTTTCTAGACAAATTATGAGATTACCATGGCCAAACACCCCAAAAAATGTAATCAAGGTGGCTTAACCCTCTTAGCACGGACGGGCCGATTATCGGCCGGCGGATGTCTTGCCAAAAACACGGAACGGCCGATGATCGGCCCGATCGTGTTTCGCCTCGAACCGCTAAGAAATCTCCTACTTTGAAACACTGAAAGTGATTCATTTATATTAACTGCGGTATCAGCTTTACACATGGCGACTTTCGAGTGTTTGGTATCGAAGTGAAAATTGTTGTTGAATTTTTTAGATAGTGACCTGAACCGCTAAAAGTATGTCTGACTCGTATGTTTCTGCCCCTAAACTTGATGTTGATAAAACATTTGAATCAAGTGTTGACACTAATTCTGTTGATACTGATGCAGGATTTAGTGTTAGTAGTTATAGTGGGAATCAGATGGGGACGCTGTTGTGTTCAGACCACAGCCCAACCATGGCTCAGGGTATATCCACCCGAAGGTGTTGACACTCCGGCACATCCATTTATAGTGCTGACTGATGGTGAAAAACACATGTCACCTAAAGATATTATTGCTGTTTCACATATATATATACATGTTTTCGACTATTGAATTGCTTACAACATTTGTAAAAAGGCCAAAGATCAATAAAAAGATTTCAAATAAAAAAAATTTTTGTTTTTATTTTTATGTTTCAAGCATTGAAGTTGAAAATTCAAATTCATATTTTCTATTTTTAGATATGCAAATGAGATAATTTGCATATACATCAATTAATTTTAACGATATTGTGAAAATCACGAACTTCAATCTATATCCTTCAAATAGATATATTATTTCATAGGGGTCGGAATAACAGAAATCTGTCAAAAAAAATAAATAAAGTAATAACCAAATTCACTGAAAAAATGCTCCGTGTTTTTGGCTAGACCTCTGAAAAACTTCCCGTGCTAAAAGGGTTAATATAAATTAACTCATTAAGAAAATGCAAGAGAAGGAGACAAATTACTTTCTTAGATTACATCGCGAGAAGGGAAAAACTAAAGTAAGCCCTGTCAAGATAGTCGGAAGGAAAGAGTGGCAATGGGAGATATGAGAAGATGCTGGACAGTTTGGCATCATCATCAGTTCTTGTTATGCCTAGTGGCACATGAGGCTTCAGAGAGGATTTTCCATGCTTTCCTGTCCTGTGCAATTTTCAATGCAGTTTTCCATGTCAAAGATGCCCCACTCAGGTCACTTTCTATCGTTCGTCTCCATGTTGTTTTTGGGCGCTTCTTTTTTCTCTATCCCTCTGGTATCCATGTGAGAGCTGTTTTAGCAGGTATATCAGGATACATTCTCATAATGTGGCCAAGCCATTTCCATCTTCTCTTGGTTATCATACTGTCTGGAGTTTCTTGGTTTGTGACTTGAAGTAGTTTAGTGTTTGAGATTGTATCTGGCCAGAAAATTTTGATAATCCTACGTAGACATGTGTGGTGGAAGGTGGACAGCTTGTGTACATCTTTTTTGGTCATTCTCCAGCATTCTGCTCCATAAAGTAGAACTGGCAAAATGATGCTCTTGTACAGTCAGAGTTTTGTTCCTCTGCAGTAACTGTTGGATTTCCAGATATGCCTCATCCTTCCAAAAGAAGCTCTAGCTTTGTTCAGGGGTGACTGTATGTCTTCTTCTGTCCTTCCCAGTAGGGACATTACACTGGTTTGGCATCATGGCGTGATGGAAATTCTGTGTCAAAATTTAAGTCCAGAAAATCAACTCGAGAGTATCCCCTAGAGCTCAGCCTGTCTCTGCTAGATGGCAGCTGCCTGCCAAGTGCTGCACACAAAGCACAAACTCTGTGACTTCTGTGACAATCCCCAGGGAACTCCAGAAAATGGCACATGTGAACCGAATGGCGTGTCCTGAAATGACCCATTGAAGGAAATGACTTGATCACTTCGCTGTTGTCGGACCAGAAATACAGTGCTTTGTTGGTCCACCTGTTGCAGCTTTCAACACTGACTAGCTGTCAATCAATGCTAAAAGCCGGGTTTGCCCAACCTTGATATTTAAGTTTTCAAACTGCATTTCCTTGTTCTAGGATAAGGCCAGCATCCTCTCCAATGCACTCCTCTACCTGAAACCAGTGGCACAAATGGGATATTGCTGTGTGCTAAACTCAACTGGCTGTTCAGGTGTACAAGAGGTCAGAGGTGTGATCACCTACGCCAGTCATAAAGGTGCTGGATGATGATGTTGACAGGAAAGAGTGCAAGGAGTCTAGTTAGTTGAAGTGAAAAATACATTTTCTAGAGAGATTAACGGAAACATCCGCCGCTCCACGGGGACAGCGAGGACCAAATGGACAGGCGGCAGAAAGGTTAATCATGCCCAAGTTAGTGCCTCTGGATCAATGAGATGGAGTGTCTATTTTTATATTTATGTGTATCATTTCATTCTGTTGCAATGTTTGGCTGCGCCGTAATATGACACTAAAATGCCGCCCGGTGCGTTTGAAAACAAATAAACTTTACCGAAGCACTACTACAGAAGACTTCTAGCGTATTATGTTGACACTGTTACTTGAGCGTTTGGGTATACGAGGCTGACTGGCTGTTATCCGTGACATTCTTGGGTACCCCCTAGATACTTGGCAAGTGTGCGGTGCATCATGCTATTCATCAGTGGATCAGGAAGCTCCACACGCGTAAGATATCAGGTTTAGTTTAAGCCACCTAACATTCACTGTTACCAAAGCACAAGTAGTATCGACAAATGTTATAACACAATGTTATACTGTTTTAACAAGTATAATATTAATAACTAACGTAACTACTAATACAGCTATTATAAATAAACTGTCCTTTTAGTGAATACATAATCTGTGAGTAATTACCTTTGCATACTTGATGTCTGGCTTTGGGATAGGTTTTGGGGTAGCTGACATACATCGAACTTGTTTTGAACTGGCGACTGAAAGGGCAGAAACTGTCGCCCTTGTTCTTATCAAGTTCATGACTGTCGACATGATTTGCTTATCAGATGATCACTTTAAACTGAAACAAATTAAAACAAGAGATTTTTACAAATGTAAACCAATGCAGCTGCTAAACCATATGTGAATAGTTGTCACCGTTTATCAGTAGATATCAGCCTTTGGAGAATGTAATCCCTTTATCTCATAGTGTGGGTTCCTGAATCTATTGGAAAGTAAAAAAGAAAAAAAAAAAAGGGGGGGGGGGGGGGGGGGGGGGGGGGGGGGGGGGTCATACTGACCGCATGACTCATTGAGTGATAAATAGTCTAAAAGTATAGCTGTTTTCCTTTTTCTGTCATTCATCTCCTCATGCACAACTGACCACCGGTCAGCTCACACTAAGAGATTTGTAAGCTAGGCCATAATTGGTTAGATTCCTCCCTTCATTTCTGTTCATCTGAGTGACACAATTGCGTTGTTCCTGTTTACAGCAAGGATGTGATAACTGTACCGTTAGGCTGACACATTCAACGTCACTGAGTATTTGCTGGCTGGGTTAACTTCCAGATAGTTTTGTGGGACATGATTTTGCCTTATTTGTGTGGTGTTTTTTGTGACCCCCCAGTCTACAGGAGTTGCCCCTGGAGAACTCATTAAAGGCAACCGAGTGTAGACCGGTCGACCCCCACGGAAAGGCAGGGATAAATCATGGGCATTCCTCGCCATCAAAGGAGGTTTCCCATAAATGCGGAGCCGACACATGATGCTCTTGTCATGGGTTCACGTAAAAGAACTATCATGTCCTGCACATGACTGCTCAACCTTACATCAGTATATTGAGCTTCCCACTTGTCAGAGGCTGCACTCTCACGAGATCAGCTGGTAGCAGTCTGCGTGTCCTGGGCGTGTCCTGGGCTTCGATGACCCCACAAATAGATACATTCTTCTACAGCATGTTAGAGAACTTTAATGTTGTTTTATCTAGACACTTAGCATGACAGCATAGAAAAGCATACATCAGCGTAGCTTCCACTGTCTTGTCTGAACACTGGTGAGTGGGGCAAACCTCTTAACCTTTCTGCCAAACAGGACTTCTAATGGTCAGACACTGAAGACTTTGCTGTTATGCCATAGGCCATGTATCTGAGAGACATTTGAGTGTAACCAGCTAAATGACAGGGGTAGATTGTTGTGGTGTATCCTAGCACGGTGACGACGATGTTGGGGATCAACAATGGATGTACAGACACAGAAAACTGTACTGTGAAATACCAACCGCAGGAGATGCTCATAGAAGCTGTGAGCAAATCTCTTGATCTAAGGCTTAGTCTCAGCAGTTCTTACACTCGACAGATGATTTAACAAAGAGTTGTCATTTGGTAGTATATTCAGTTAGAATGATTTACTCTTGTTCCAATAAGTTTTGTCTAGGCTGCCTATGTAGTCAAAAATTGTTGTATAATTCTCTATTCACAACGCATCGCCTGAGCCAAGAGTAATATGTGATGGTTCTTGCACTAGAAGAACCCTGGTCTTTTCTGTTTTTTTTTCCTTCTATTTTTGCAGTTCCGTGGGTAACTACTTATTGACCTAAACAATTTTCTTTCCTCATTACCCTACTTGTTTTTACCTTTTTCATGTCCTGCTAGCTCATATATATATATATATATATATATATATATATATATATATATATATATATATATATATAGAGAGAGAGAGAGAGAGAGAGAGAGAGAGAGAGAGAGAGAGAGAGAGAGAGTGACACACATACAAACACACGAATACACACACCGAAACCCACTAATATGCTTTCTATGTTCTTTTTTCAAAGTTTAAATCTCCATAAATATAACAAAATAAATCTGGTGAAAGAAAACATGCTCTACTTGAAGATGATGTCCTTCTGTGTGTGTGTGTGTGTTTTAGATGTGTAAAGCTGATAACTAGCACACTAACATGCAAGCAGCTAGTTAGAATCAAACACACACAAAAAAAGCATTTTCTGGAATACTAAAAAACTGAAAGTACACATGTAGTTTGATTTTGTAAGAGACTAGAAAGCAAGTGTGGGTTCTCCTTGCAATAACGGTCGCTACTTGGACGGCGACGGCCGCTTAGTCGGAGTTGTCCCCTGGCTGCAGTGCAATTACGAAGTGGAAAAGAGGAAACGACACAATTGACATAATTAGTCTAGGGGTAGGGTTGGGCTAATGTGAGTCGCAGAGCGTGGTCTAGACGCCATGTTGAACTCACTGTGTTTTGTGATGCGTTCCTTGTCCACTCCGTAATTGCACTGCAGCCAGGGGACTGAACTCCGACTAAGCGGCCGTCGCCGTCCAAGTAGCGTTATTGCAAGGAGAACCAACAATAGAGCTGACATAGACAAATAAGTGTGATATTTGGACTTAGCAAGTCTCATTATAGTCTCACTTATGCAAAATCAGGTGTACAAAATTGTGTAGGGCTGTGTATAACTAACTAGTATAAGTATTTTTTTTTTAAATTAAATATATTATTAGGTTTTGTTAGGCGGACATATCGGTTTCTATGCTGTTTAACATAAAACTAAACACCAAATTACTTGTAAAATAAGTGTAATGTACCTACGAATAAAACAATGTTTCTCTCTCTTCTCCAAAATCAAGAAGTATACAACAGAAACAGACTTTCTAATTCCTTTCCTACCGGGATCCCGGATAAAACGAGGGGTTGCTAAATAAAAAAACACACGTCATTTAAAGCCAAACTACTACACAATTACGCCAGAAAAAAAAGCCAAATAAAATATAACCTTGCACTTGTATCACATCAAAAGCTCTAGATTGAATTCTTGACCGTCATCCTTACTGGAACAAGTGGGAGATAACGCTTAAACTTGTTTAAGCCTTAAGTGCAGGCGATATCATATCTTTTTTTTTAAAATGATGCACGAACATTTAGTTCTCAGATCATTCTTACAGAAATTTGCAACTTTGCTGCCTTAACTTTATCATTACTTTGCCTAGCAGTCATTGCTGAAATAGACTGTGACTAGCTTTTTGACACAGTTTTCATTCAGGACTTGATATGTTACTAATCTTGATTACAATAGTGCACTGACAGTTTACTGATCCGTCTGAGGATCTTTTGAGCCATGGGGATGTTTTTTTTTTTTTTTTTTCCAATTACTATTATATTTGCGATTGCTGTCATAAAATGCTTTCCATTTTTTTCAGTTAACGTGGTCATTTGTAAAAGTAATAAAATCTATCACATTTAGAACTAGGTCTTTATCATCTCTACTTTTGATCTTCAAGATAGTGAAAACATGGTGGTGACTGGTCATGTTGATGCTCTAACATTAGGAGATGGTGCGAATCTCCTTTACTTCGTGTATCAGGACATCACAGCAAAGACAAACTAAAATAAAGAAGTTAACTGTAGGCCTACATTGCTTTTAGTTAATTAGCGTGCCTCTCAGGGAGAAACTATAAAGAAAATGTGAGCTTGTCTTTTTTAGAAAAGCTAGGGAAAAACCCAAACACGCCAAAATTCACCAGCTCATTATCTTAAGCCAGCTCAATTTTAAATACGCCAAATTTAAAGAATCTGGCGTCAAATAAGCCAATATGGCAACCCTGATCCTTGACAAACCGTTTAAAGTAATAGCCTTGACCTTTGACTCCAATGTAACCTCATGAAAAAGGTCATTTCGTGTCTGAAGCCTGCATCTGGTAACGGAGGCGTCACCGAAATGGAGAGAAGCATTTTTATATGTTCTCTCGATCTCCTGTATTTTAAATGCTTTTAAAGGCCTATCCCCCCCCCCCAGCTATAGTTTATAGCAGGGCTTTTTGTTTCCTCGGCGCACACAACGGTACGCAGTACTAGCACTCTTTTTAGATATTGTTTTTCCAGCAATACTGGTGTAGACACTGTGGTTGTGTTTTTTTCATAGAAAAATACTATGATTATTCTTAATAGAGCATTAACAGAAATATCGTAATAAAAAAGAATTAGATTACTTACCTCTGCCAAAGATAGAGCAACGAAACAGCAACATGTCAGCAGCAGAAGTGATATGATTTTTATTAAAATGTTTCACAACTACAGACTACAGTGTATCAAGTAATGAATGCAATCATTATTCCAATATACACAAGGTATGAGACAAAATAATTATAGTACACATTCAAAAATTTAGACCTACACCTATTATTCCAACAGCTACAAAAAAGCACCAACACTCACACATACATCTACACTCACAGACACTTACATACACGCATACACACTCTCTTTTTCACCCACGCATATCTACGTACACACATATCAACTCGTGCGTATACACACACACACACACACACTCACACATAACTGAGTTACATCAGGTCGCGACGCAATAATAATATATTGGTCATGTTATGTCTTGTGCGTCTTGAGTATAATGTTTGTGTCTGTTCACGCCTATGCTTCTGCTTTAAATATGTATATAATCTTTGAATATTCCCTTAACCGCGCAGTTCCGGCCAGATCTGGGTTTTTATTTCACGCCTTGGGTTAAGTTATATAATCTTTTTTTTCCTTTTTTTTTCAATATAGGTTAGTTGCGTATCTTTTACAGGACGTTGCAGAACCTACCCCAGCAGCCCCTGGCTGTTGTGTGGTTTCTCTAGTCAAATTTATGTCCAGTAGTTTGCCATTGCCTGTGGACGGTCGGTCCCCTAATACCACTGTCGAAACCACCGCAAGGCGCATGGGATCGAACCCTGCACCCCGGCATTACGAAGCGTTCGCATCGACGTAGCCACAGAGCCAACTTTTTCAATATATCCTTTTTTAAAAGTGGGTAAATGTTTCGTTTCGTAACTATAAAATTTGGTACTTGTTATCATTCTTTGGCTTTTATTTCTATGCCCCCCCCCCCCTTTTCCCTTTTGCTTAGGTATTGCTGGTTTTGAGTGTGTGTGGGGGGGGGGGGAAGCTTAGCTTAGGTTTTAATAATAAATTTAAAGAAAAATCCCATTGACAGGCCCAGTTCCGACGTGTACATTTTTAACCTAGTGTAC